GGGGGGGTAGCTAGCTAGCTATCGAGCGAGCGAGGCGGACACGTCCTTGCGTTGCGTGGTCGTCCAGGACTGGCTGCACACGTGCTGATGGACGATGCTTGGCGCTTGTGTCTGGTGCGTGTCGTGTGTACATATAATTCAACGGTGTCGTGTGTTGTGTGGCTGAGAGGGCTACAGAGGATGGGTGCTGCATGCACGCAAAGAACCCACCCACCCACCCACCCACTGCTGAAGCAGTGCGGTGCGGTGCAGTGCTCACAAGCCTCCAGGGCCGGGATGGAATGGGATGGTGCCTCCCTTCCCTTCCTTCAACCAGTCAGTCGGTGCATATGCGCACGTACAGGCAAACGTGTGAGGTGAGGCACTGATTGATTCATTTGATACATACAGTGTCACGTCTCCATTCATTCATTCATCCATTCATTCATCGATCATCTTGTGGGCCCATCCCTCTCTCCCTGCCAGCCGCCGCATGACGTACCACCACGAGCTAGATGACGTCCTGGTCATCAACAAGACGACATCCGTCTCAGCTGTTGGCCAGCCATGTGGTGCTGTCTGGCAAGAGAGCACTCAGAGAGCCACACACGAAAGAAATGACTAGTCAGTCCATCGCGTCCATGCTATCGATATGTATTCCGTCACTGCCGCACTCCGAAGTTGGCCTCCAGCCTCTGCACCAGCCTGTCCAGGTCAGTCTGCACACACACACACACACACAATTAACACAACCACCACTGTCTCCTTTTGTGTGGGTGGCCTGTCTGTCTGTCTGTCTGTCTGTCAACCCTTGCTGACCGCTTCTTGGTCCAGGCTGGCGAGTGCGTCCTGGTGCAGCTTCAAGATCTCAGCAATGCCGGCAATCTGACACACCAACCAGTTCATTCATCCGCCGCTGGCAGCCCGCAGCCACCACACCCACATGCCCTCACCCACCGGGTCTGGGAGGCTCTCGCTGACGAGGCGGCTCGCTTCGGTCTCCAACTCACCTATCTGCAGCGCAAGACACACACACGTGACACAGGCGAGCGAAGACACAGGCGAAGAGCAAGCACGTCATTCATTGATCTGAGTGGTGCAGAGCTCCCTCCCTCCCTCCCTCCCTCCCCTTGTTGCCCACCTGCTGTTCCATCATGTTGAGCCGAGTCTGCATCTGCATGGCGCGGGATTGACTGTACGGCATGGCACACACACCCCCACACACACGGCAGCAGCAGGCGGGCATGTGAGTCAGGTGGTGGATGGGATGGTTGCAAGGTCGCGTACGTGTTGATGTGTGGCTGCGGTGCGCCCTTCATTTTCTGGCCTAGGTAGTTGCTCACGCCCTGCAGCTGCTCCAACATGGTCTTCTGAAACACACACACCCAGGGAGAGAGAGGGAGGGAGGGAGAGCCGATGTGAGCACAGGCATGGTGGCCAGGGCACGCACCGCACCACACCGCCCCTGACCTGCTGCTGTGCCATGATCTCGAGTGTATCGTCCATGGTCTTCTGCCGGGCCTCCAGCGCATTCTGGCTCTCATTCAGAGCCATCAACTGACACACACACACGTACGGCGGTGTGTTTGGTGTCCTTCCTCTCCCTCTCCCTCTCCCTCTCCCTCTCTCTCCTCTCCCTCCTTCAGTGTGCTGTCTGCCCACCTCCTTGACGGCCCGTATGTTGGCTAGGTCCGTCTGCTTGACCTCGTCAGCCAAAATCTGGAACTCCTCAGCCTGCACACACACAGAGTGCACGGCTTGCGTAGTGGGTGGGCGCTTCGTCAGTCAATGTCTGATCGCCCCACCTGATGCGCCACTCGCGCCTCCCACTGGCGCAGCAAATCGTCAACCTTCTTGTGCGGCATCTGAGACAACCGAACTGCACGCAACCCACATCAGTCATTGTCGCACTATCCCACAGGGCCAGCACTAGTCCGTCCCCTCCCCCACCTTGTTCTGGGCTCTGCAGTGTGGGGGCGGCCCCCGTGGTGGCTGCACCCGCTGCGGCAGCTGCTGCAGCAGCAGCCGGGGCCGCTGATGTGGCGGGTGCACCCACAGCGCCAAACAGTGATGCTGCACAGGGTGCACCATAGCATCCAACACGTAGGTGAACGAGGAGTCATGCCGCCGACAGGTGAAGTCCCACCCGCTCCTCACTCACCTCCTGATGCAGGTGTGAGTGCAGCAGTGGTGCCTGCACACGTGCCGTGCACAGCAATCCATCCATCCATCGATCCACCCCCTCCCCTCTCTAGCAGCCCACCTGCAGCAGGTTGAGTCCCCGCAGGTGCGGCGGCGGCAGCAGCTGGTGCGGATGTGGTGGCGCCAAACAGTCCCGCTGCTGCTGCAGGGGCCGATGTCTGTGCTGCTGCACCCGTGGTAGCTGACGGCTGGGCCGCCGTGCTCGCTGCACCGAAGAGTGACGTGCCTGTAGCCGCTGCAGTTGATGGGGCAGCTGTGCCGAACAGTCCACCTGCACACACCGAGGGAGGGAGAGATCGCCCAGATGGATGGATGCTCTCTCTTGTGTGTGGTGTGGTGTGGGGTACCTCCAGTGGTCTGAGCGGACGACGCGGCCCCGAACAGGCCTGCCGCAGGGGCAGCCGCAGACGTGCTGGCAGCCGTCGTTGATGCCCCCGCTGCAGCCGCACCAGTGGTACCTGACATCCAAAGCGAGAGAGACGACATCATGACTGACACTTGCTGTCCTGTCCTGTCCTCTTCTCACACACCCGCACCAAACAGTCCTCCTCCCGTGGTTGCCCCGAACAGTCCAGGAGCAGCAGCAGCGGTCGATGCTGCGGCACCAGTGGCCCCGAACAGGCCCCCGACTGCGGTGGTGGACGCCCCTCCGGTGGTGCTGGTGGTGGCAGGGGCCGCGCCGGTCAGACGAGAGGCGCCCCCGGAGGGCACAGGTGGCGAGGGGCTGACGGCGGGGTGGGGCGTGGCGCCGAACAAACCTCCACCTACACACCAGTGGCGCAGGAGGTCAGTGAGGTGGGACGCTTTTTGTGTGCTAGAGGGTGTCTGTGGTAGTGGGGAGGAAGGAGGTACCTGTCTGTGCAGGTGCAGAGGGTGCGAACGAGAAGGCACCTCCAGCGCCGCCCGATGCAGCAGTAGGTGCAGGTGGTGTGGCCCCGGCTGTGCCTCATTAATGAAGGAGCACATATATCACATCCACGCACAGCACAGCACAGCACACCGTCCACTCGTCAGTCATCTCTAGCTATGTCTGTCGGCCATGCATACCGTGTATCTATCGTATGGATCTTACTTGTTGCAAATAGTCCGCCTGTTGCTGGTGTGGTCTGGCCCCCGAACAGTGATTGGGTGGCCTGCCCGGCCGTTGCTGGTGCGCCTGTCCCTGTGGCTGGTGCACCGAACAGGGCTGTGCCTGCTGCGGCCGACGAGGGGGCAGCTGCGCCAAACAAACCACCTGAACAAAAACGGGGCGACCGAGACACATCCATCCATCCATCCAGCCATGAGCAAACAGTCGTACCTACCTCCTGTAGTGGCCTGTGTCGCTTGTGCACCGAACAGGCCGCCGGTCGCAGCGCTGCTCGCGGCCGCAGGAGCAGCCGTGCCGAACAAAGCGGCACCTGTAGTACAAGGAAGAATGTGTAGATAGATACCTTCTGGATACGTGTGTGCACATCGTTCATGTGCGTATGAAGATTCTGAGTGAATACCTGTGGATACCGGTGCCGCTGCTGGTGCGGCAGTGGTTGTGCCGAAGAGCCCTCCGCCAGTGCTAGATGGTGCGCCGAAGAGACTCTGCCCTGCACACACGTCACCACACCACACCACACCACACCATCGATCCCCACAGCTAGACTCACGGCAGCCTCGGCCTCTCTCCCCACCCACTGGCTGCTCCACCCCACCTGCTGCTGCCCCAGTGGCGGGAGCTGCACCGAACAATCCACCTGCCCACATACACATACACGAATAACCGTCACCCTCCCGTCAGTTTGTGTCGTGATGGCCACCACCTCTCAATCAAGGACTCACCTGACGTCTGTGCCGCTGTTGTGCCTCCGAAGAGGCCCCCACCGCCCCCTGCAGCAGCAGGTGGCTGTGGCTGCTGGACGTTGGCCGATGGAGCACCGCCGAACAAGCCCCCTCCTGTGGTGCTGCTGCTTGCCGGTGCAGCGCCGAATAGCCCGCCGGCCTGCGCCGGGGCAGACGTGCCGAACAAACCACCACCACCTAACGCACACAGACACGGGGACACAGACAGAGGGAGGGAGATGTGAGCTGAGCTGTATGGGCGGCTGGTGTCTGTCGAGTCGAAATGCATCCGCTCACCTGTGGATGTGGCTTGTTGACTTGATGCGGCACCAAACGCCGATGTCCCAGTAGACGCGCCGCCAAACAAACCGCCTGCAATGCAATGGACACGTGCACACGACGCAAAGACGAGAGAAAACCTTCGCACACCCATTCACGTCACGTCGTGTGTGTCGTGTCGTTCGGTTCGTGCCTGTTGCAGGCGCGGACGATCCGAACAGCCCTCCTCCAGTCGCCGCACCCGTGTTGCTGCCGAACAAACTTCCACCACCGCCTGGAGACAGACACCGACGTGATACGCTTGACATGTCAAACCAAAACCGACATGGGATGCAGCACCGACCTGTTGTGCCACCGCCGCCAAAGAGGGACGCCTGCGTGCCCTGGCCCTGTGTGGAGCCGAAGAGGCCTCCCGCGCTGCTCGAGGCGCCAAACAAGCCGCCTGAGCTGGGCTGCTGACTACTCGCACCTGACACACACACGTGTGCACATCAAGGCAGATCAAGATGAATGAATGTCACATGTGAGATGGCCGCTCCGGCGCTGTCTGTCTGTCTGGTGTGTCTGTCGTCACGCCACAGTGTCCCTTCTCGTGCCGGACTGACTGATCTGGCATGCATGCGATGATCCGCGGTCTGTCTGGAGGAACTCTTCTTATCTTTTCCCGCGCCGCTCTGCTTACCGAACGTGCCACCAAACATCTTGGCTGCCTCTGAACCCTCTTCCACTTTCCAGAGTGAGAGAGCGGTTTCACGCAATGTCCTAAGCGTCAAGTGCGAGCTTTTTGCTGATCTGCCTTCCTTTGTAAAAAAGCCCCTCCCGTGCCTTGTGAGTACCTTCCCCGGCCTCCCACCGGCAGCAGGTGGCGCATTCCACGAGAGACTGCAGGAGGGGTGAGGGGGTGAGGTCAGCGGTCCACCGCCGTCACCATGCGGTTCGCCGCCTGCCGTCAGGCGTACATGTGAGCACACGGCCGGGGGGAGGCAGGGAGAGCAGAGATCTGCCCCTCCGGGAGTGCATTCATGTGTCGTGACTGTCTGTCTGTGTGGTGTCCCCGATGATCAGGACGGCCCAGCGGCATTTCGGTTCAGAGTATCGGAGGGGTCTGCCCAGTCTGACGAGGCTCAACGCACTCGGGCCGTACAGGACACTCACCACGCAGAGGTGCGTCGGATGGGCTTGGGCAGCCACAACACATGTAGGGTGCTCTGTGATGTGTCTCCTCGCCTGTTGTGTGTGGTTCTTTCACAGGAATGCGTTCACGTTGAGGATAGAGCCGTCGACGACCTGCTCATTATCGGCGGCCCTGGGCATCGCCGCACTCAGGCACGGACTCGTCCCTCCCACATCAGAGTTCGGCGGACTCGGTCAGTGAGGGAGGGGCTGGCAGCGAGGAGGAAGCCGCACACGCCACAGATGCATCCGTCCATCATGCTGTCCGTGTCTGTGTGTGTCTTGTTGTTGTGTGTGGTGTGTGCATTCAGAGTCTAGCGGTTTGAGTGAGTGGCTGCTGAGTTTACTGGAGGAATACCAATGTAAGTTATGGAAGAGGGGAACCGTCATAAACATCATAGATAGATACTCGTAATCAATCATACCGCCAGACAGACAGACAGACAGACAGACGGGGGTGTGCAGTAGATGTGGTGGATTGATGGATGGGTGTCGTGTGGCTGGCTGGCTGTATGTTTGTGAGTTTTACGAGGTAATCAGATCATGGGAATGACTGGCCACCGCATCGTAACACTAGACAGGTCAGCCAGCACAACACACACACGCCCACACACAGCAATGAGAGAGGCGATGACGCATGCATATGCATTAGTGTGCGTGCCGGGCGTGGATGGATGTCGGGCTGGGGTGGAGGGGGGGGGGGGGGGGGGGGGGGGGGGGGGGGGGGGGGGG